GTTGTCATTGTTGTATAGCTGGCCCAGACCGGGTTCAAACCTGCCAGCCTTGGTGCATGTGGCTGGTGCCATAACCACTGTGCTACAGGTGCCGAGCCTGGAGAGAGAACTTCTAATGCAGCATATTTTAAACTGCAGGTCATGACTCAAGACAGGTAGTTAAATACCTTAGTAATCACCTTAGTGAAATTACAAGAAGCACTTTAAAAAAATGAAATAAAATCTCTATCATACCTATACTAAAGAAAATAGTTTTGTGAACTTGTTATGTGATACATATATACATTATATACACACATATTCATATATGTACGTATGCATGTGCTGGTTTGCAATATAAAATATATTTCTTACTAAGGGTTATAGTTGACATTTGGAAAACATGTCTTACCATTTTTGTTTGCCTTCTCTCATCTTAGTTCCTTCACCAGGCTGCTCTTGAAGATAATCCTATTAAAATTAGACAAAAAACAAGACATCTTCCTTAAACCAATGTTGTTTTTCTCTTCAGCATTTTCTGGGCATTCACTACATAAAGATTCTTGGATAACGGCCAGTTATTCTCAAATCTACAATCTTGTCAGGAGAGACAAACAGGCAAACTGAACATTACATAAGTTAGAATAATGTGTTATTCTAAGGTCCAAGTAACATGTTGGGTGGAGTGATTCACTCTGGCCAGAGTATCATGAAGTCTCACCATTAAGTATGAATGTCAGATTGGCAAGGGAGGGCTTGGACGTATTTCTTTTTAAAGATTAAGTAAAACAATTTGACTGGTGGGTGGCCCTTGTAGCTCAGAGGAGTAGGGCACTGGCCCCATATGCTGAAGGTGGCAGGTTTAAATCCAGCCCTTGCCAAAAACTGCAAAAAAAACCAACAACAACAACAACAAAAAAAAAAACCCAACAAACAATTTGACTGGATCATATGGTTTAAAAGGTGATTTTTAGAATAGGGAATTTAAAAGCAATACATTCTGTCTTTGGCCTTAATAAAACACATTTTATTTTTTTAGACTGGATCTACAAAGAACCTGTTCTGTTAATTTACATTATTCAAGAACAGAATTGCCCCTCTAAGATTTAATACTTTAGGGATGGTCAGTTGACAATCTAGTCAGGAAGCCCAAACTCCACAAGTGAAGACTAAAGGCCTTGTTATCCACAGCCCAGTCAATACAAAGACTCTGTTAATTAGCTTAATACATGTCAAACATGTTTCCACTGGTACTATAGCTTGCTAATAATCTTTTTATATTTTTGTTTTTCTTACTGTAAAAGGAAGATAACCTGACAATAATCTTTTTTTGAGACAGAGCCTCAAGCTGTCCTCCTGGGTAGAGTGCTGTGGCATCACAGCTCACAGCAACCTCCAACTCCTGGGCTCAAGTGGGTCTCTTGCCTCAGCCTCCCAAGTAGCTGGGAC